AGTTTTCAGCAGACACAACATCCTTGTTTGTATGTGGTGCTGAGGATCGAACCCGGACCACACGCACGCCAGGCTTGAGCCACATCCCCAGACCCTAAGGTAAACATTTCAATCATCACAATCAGCTGACTCCTTCCTTCCCCATTCCTTCTTTCTCAAATTTGCAAAATTATTACTATTTTTAAATGTTTTTAAGTCGTTGATGGACTTTTTATTTATTTATTCATACGCAGTGCTGAGAACCAAACCAGTGTCTCCCACATGCTAAGCAAGCACTCTACTAGCCCAAATTTTCAAATTTACTGAGCTGACTAAAAAAATTACACATTTCATGGGGTTTATATTCATTACATATTTTAAATCTTTTTTAAAAATATTATTGACATTGTTATGTAAGAAAATCAGGAAAAATTTAAAAATTTAAAAAATTAAGACACATATGGCCTGAGAATGGAGCTCTGTGGTAGAGTGTTTGCCTAGTATGTGTGAGACCCTGGATTCGATCCCAGCACCAAGAAAACAGAAGGCAGGGGAGAAGCAGGGGGATATAAACTTTAAGTAAACAATATCAAGGTAATATTTATTTTTTATTTACCTTGTCAAATCCTTACTGAATGGTCAATGGGTAAGATTAAGAGACAAAGTTTTACTTTACCTCTATTATCTCTTGGAGGAGGGTCATTCTTAATAGATGCCACAGTTCTTCGATTCTATAGGGGAAAAAAAAGATGTTCATTGTATTTTTTTCTCTTCACTTCTCAGATACAGATCATGATCTCAGCTTCTTGAATGGATCAAAGTATGCAGACAAACAGTAATGTTAAACTAAATGGAGAAAAACTAAAATGAATTCCTATGATTATCAATATTCAAGTTCTTGCGTACAGAATATTCCCCTCCACCATCACCCCCAAATTATTAGGGAATTAACATGACCAAGGCACTGCTCTTAGGACTTTATATATGTATTAATTCATTTGATTTTATACAACCCTATGAAGTCACTATTATTGCTCTTCCCATTTTACAGACAGGGAAACTGAAGTAAAGAGAGGTTAAGTAACATTGTTATAATGTTATCCTGCCAAAACTTCATGAAGATTGAGTCTCTCTTTTCCTAAATACTTTTTATTTTTTTAGTTGTAGATGGACACAGTACCTTTATTTTATTTATTTATGTGGTGCTGAGGATCAAACCCAGTGCCTCATGCATGCAAGGCAAGCACTCTACCACTGAACTATAGCACCAACCCTCCTAAATAATTGAGACAGAAGTGTTTCAGATTTCTTCATGTTTTGGAATATCTACTTATACATAAAGAGATACCTTGGTGACCAATTCTAAACACCAAATTCATGTGTATTTCATATACACTGTATATACAATAGACATAGATGTTAGTTTATACTATGTTTTTGGTGCAACTGCATGTTGACTGTGACTCATCACCCAAGGTCAGGAATAAAATTTTCCATTTGTAACATCATGTTGTTTCTCATAAAGTCTCGGATATCTGAGCATTTTGGATTTGGGAATCAGTAAGTTTAATTTTGGTTTATCAGGATAATTAATAAAATACTAGTTCTAGACACTTAGCACCCTTTGTTAAAATTAAATACTGAAATACTATGAAATATGTTTTGTTGTTTATCATAAAAAGGTTTTCTTAGGAGATTTGAAGACTTGGATACTGCATAGATTAGGGCAACAAACTTTTGATTCTATTATTTATTTACTACAGACCTCATTTAATTCATTTCAAAAGTATCAAATAATACAGCTGTACTCAGTCCTGGCTGCATATTCAGATGAGATGGATACTATCTGAAGGGCAATAATGCTAGTTAAGACCTCCTTTTAAATAACACTGAATCTCTGGGAGTGAGGCCCAGACAGTATCTTTAACAATTATCCAGGTGAGGGGTTGGGGATAGAACTAAGTTGGTAGAGTGCTTGCCTGTATGCACAAGGCCATGAGTTCAAATCCCCAGCACCACCAAAAAAAAAAAAATCCAGATGACTCTAATGGTAAACAAACGTTCCTAATGATATAGCAAGAAAGATAAACCTGAAGATCCTTCAAGATTTTGAAGCTAAATATGAAAAACAGTCCACTTACAAGTGAAAACTACTGACCTCTAAACAGTAACTTTCAATATGCTTAAGTTATATGAACTGAAAAATATGACATGTTTATATGCAGAGTTTACAAAACAGAACGCTTTGTTTCCATTATTGTCTCTATCATAATATATTTAGATATTTATGTATATCCTCCCTCTAAAATATTGAGTTCCTATAGGCTGAAAGCCACGTCACATTCATCTTTGTATTCTGTCCAGCACAGTACCTGCACAATATGGGGGGAAGGGGAAGTGTCAATGAATGTTTTTTAAAAATTAAGTGCAAAGAATTGCAGATTCAGTAACATTTACAGGACTAAGTGATTTATAAGATGTTGAATTTTCATACCAAGTGTTAATGGTAATGGGTTGAGAGAATGGAAGAAGAATTATTTTTTGAAATACTAAAAGTAATGTACTTTTAGCTTTTATAAAAAGATAAATGCTAGGAAGAATATACCATGGTTTTAAAGTTTATCTTCATAGATGATACACAAGTAGTTTAAACAGTTCCTATCATTTCTCATCTTTCTTTAATAAACATAAATAGCAGAATTATAACTTCATAAGACTATTAGGGTAGGTATTCATTATTCATAATAAAGTTATTTTTATTTACAAATGGTTCTAACTTCGATGTTTTTTGAAGCTATAAGTCTCAGAAAAAATCCTAATTAGGCAAGGAATTCCTTTGATCTTATCTAATGATTATCATAATTTCAAATTAGACAAATTCAATCCATGAAAGTGTGTGTTTTCCATCAATGTGGATGGAAAGAACTTTTTTTTAAAAAAGTCAATCAATACTTTTAAAATATACACAGCCTTCCAATTTTAAACCTGAAGACATGCACAAATACATATATTCCCTGTTATAAATTTTCATCACTAACCTTCACAATTTTGTTTACTTTGGCTGAAGATGTTGAAGGTGGAGGTATTTCTGGACTGGGTTCAATTTCTTCATCAGGTACAAGGTCAGGGTTAAGTGAAAAGATGCTCTCCAGATCAATCTGTTTAAAACACACACATGTACATTTTGAGAAGGTATTTTGACAATTAAACTTTTTTTCAAATGAATTTATACACAGTAAATAAATGATTTCAACCTAATGAGCAGCAGTACCTTGCAAACAAAATTGTTTTTAAAAATCTCAAAAAGCATACTCTATTTTTATTTAAATATTCTATTATATTTTCATAATTTATTTAATATGTACTGATGGCCACTTAGGTTATGTGTAATTTTTTAACACCACCATGCATATGATCTTATACTTGCCACATCCCCAGCCCTTACTATTTTTGAGATAAGGTCTCACTAAGTTGCTAAGGCTGGCCTCCAACTTGTAATTCTCCTGCCTCAGCTTCTCAAGTGTCTGGGATTACAGGTGTGCACCACCACACCTGCTGCATATATGCTCTTGATTATATGAATTGCTAGTAGCACGGTGACAAACAGAACCACAAAATTAGCTTCTAGCAACTTTCAAATTTTGTGAGCTGGGTTAAAATAATACACTTCCATCTAATAATTAACAGGACATGTGTAATCATAATAAGATATGTAAGGAAAGCCTACGTTTTCTTTGAGTGAAAAATTTTAATCATGCCAAAGTTTTTAAGAAATGATAAAAATACATGTATCATATAAAAATAATATACTTTTCTGTTTTTATACTCCGAATTTTTTGTGTGTGTGTGTGGTATTGGGAGTTGAACCCAGTGGCAGTTTGCCACTGAGCTACATACATCCCAGTCCTTATGATCCTCCTCCTGCCTCAGCTTCCAGAGTTTTGGGGATTATAGGCATGTGCTACAATGTCTTGCTATATTAAGAATCTTTCTCTTTGGTAATTGTAGATGGACAGCATGCCTTTATTTTGTTTATTTTTTTTAATGCAGTGCTAAGGATCAAACTCAGTGCCTCATACATGCTAAGCAAGCTCTCTGCCACCCCAGCCCTACATTAAGAATCTTGACAGCAGGACAAGAAATAAAATTTAACCCAGTGATCATACCTCTTTGCCTTTTGTGTCACCATTTTCTATCCATTCAACAGTTACACTTTCATTATCTTCATTTAAAGATGTTACCATTGCTTGGTGTATTCGGCCTAAGTAGGAATAAAACATACATTTTTAAAGCAATGAATGATGGCATTCCTAAATGTTGTCAAATTATAATGTGCAATTTTACATACACACACACACACACACACACACACAACCACACACAGGATGCTATCTTTCTTATAAAGGAGTTTCATAAACTCTTAGGATTAGGGATAAGCTTTGTCCACAAGATCATAAAATCAATCTGTTACTTGCTAAATCCAGGAACTAGCAAGACTAAATGAGAACAAACCTTTATTTTCAGTATTCCTGCTAAATAGTTATATAGTGACACTGAATGCTTAGAATTTCATTCTGTTAAACAGTTTTAATCATTAGAAAGTTTCCTTACTATGTGTCAAAAGTAACTTGGACACAATGCACCAACTTTTAATACTATACTAATAAAGATACGTTTTCTTAAAAAAACACATCATATACTATGCCAACACTGTATAAGAAATTTCACTGTAATTATTTTTAAATATAGAAAGAGAATCTAAGTCAAAAAAAGGCTGGGAAATAGCTATCTAAAATGTCCTCTTCTATACGTTGCCTCTCCAAATCTATCCTCCTCCTTACTTTACCTAGGCCAGCCTTTCCATATATTGAAACAGGATATTATAAATGCACTCAACTTGTTTTCCCCCAACTTAACAGACTGTGTGCATCTTACCTATTAATAACTATACAGCTAAATAATTATCTTAAATTATAACACAATATTCTATTTATCACAATTTATTTAATATGCACTGATAGTCACTTGGGTTATAGGCAATTTTTTACTATTACAGACACTGCTATGAATATGACAATATATCCGTCATGGCACGTTTGTCAATTATCTCCTTAAGACAAATTCCTAGAATCAGATCAATAAGTTTCTCATGTATGTATGCACATTTATACCCACATATATATGTATTATTTCATTTTACCCATCCCACTTGATTATTAGTTAAGAAAAGAAACTCCTATATTTCTGTATCATCTATATTACCTAATAAAATGCTGATCACATGGAATTTTCTCATGTATTTTGTAATGAAACCCTTAGGGCCTCTAGAATTTACCTTAAAATAATTTATATCTCTTTAAATATCTAAAACAAAACAGATAAGAAATGATTTTATTATATTAACGATGTATTAAACAATCTTTCAAGATAATGTTGGCATCATAAAAATCTGATTAAGTATAATGTATGAAATTTCTGTCAATCACTACCTTTTTCTATATGGGTTCATATAAAAATCTAGAGAATAAATAATCTTGTAACAATTCAAATATTAAGGATGTAACCACAATTTAGTCACTAGTGCTGCTTTTCTTTTTAACTAAAATTTAGTGGTTATCTTTTCATGATTATATATATGTGGGTGTGTACCCACACACACATAACACTATATATATGTGTATGTGTGTATGTATATACACACACACACACCGAGACCTATTAATATGAACATCTGCCTAGCATTATATAAAACTAATCTATTGGAATTTAACTTTCTTTACTAAGTTAAATATTTCCAAATCACCTTCATTTACATTTTAACAGTAAGACCCATTCCTCTATATATTCAGTGCTGAGGATTATTAATCTTAAAATGTTTACTAATATGATTAGGAAATCTCATTTCTTGGTGCAAGATACCTATGTCTTTTTCTTGTACTACTATGATTTCTCCCAACTAGTCTACCTGTTTCCAAATATTCTGTCCTTCAATCTGTTCTCCACACATCAACCCAACATTCCTGGCTAAAAATTTATTCAGATTATATTATTCCTTTGCTCAAAACTTTCTAATAGTTCCCCATCTCAGAGTAAAACAACTGATGTTTTTCCAATGGCTTTTTAATGATCTATAGAAAAGCCCAACATAACCTGACACCTCAAAAGCTGTGACCTCATTCATCTCTTGCTAGAGTTAAGTCTCCCTTTGAACACCACCTTGAGGAAGAACTTAAAAGTGAAAAGCAAGTGAGTAAATGGTGCCACTTACTGAAATAAGTAGACAGTACAAGAAGCAAAAGTATTAGGGGTGGAGGGAAATGATAAACTATAAAAACGGTGGGAGCAATCAAAAGGAAGAAGCTTACAAAGAAAAATTTTAAAATCCTTAATACAATTTGATTTGGAGAAAGAAATTAGGTAAATAACCAATAGTGGTATGTGTCAGTTGTATCCTCTGGGAAAGAGATACTGAGCAAATACAAAAAGAGGAAGAAAAAAAAATTGGTCATGGAAGACTTTCAGCCCATGATGCAGATCTCAAACCCATGAAAGTAAAGGTAATATAAAGCGGGACTGAGTAGAAAAAGCCTCAGACCTAGATGTAGATCCACCAAAATCTTGGGAGCCCTGCAGCAAAGACTTCCCACTATGAGACCTGAACTGGACTTGAATTGGCATGCCAAGATCTGTTGCTGGGTAGAGGCTTCCCAGGCCTCAGCCCAAAAGATAAAGGATTCTAAAGCTACTAATAAGTGCATGCTATCAGTTACTTATTCTCTCTGGAACTAAAGAAGTTCTTTAGAACTTTGAGAGATGTCCAAGCAGTGCACCTACACAGTTGCAACAGGACATGAGTAAGAAAGAAAATGAGCTTAACTGGTAGTGGAAATTAAAAGCAGATCCAGAGAGCCCTAAAAAGCCATGCTGGGGCAAACCTCATCACTATCATAATCTAGGAGGAGCTACCACTACTGTATCAAGCCCCACATTCACCATCTCCACAATATGAATAGTGGAGAACATTAGTGGAAACAAGATTATTGCAACGTAAGTATTAGGAAAAGTGAAAGGGTTTAATATAATGGTTTCATCACAAAAAGAAAGTAAGTTCCTGAGCCCAAGAAAGAAGTATTTGAATACCGGACTACTCTAAAGCAGGAAATGGAGAGATTAGAGTGGTGGTTGTTGAAGGAAAAAAAGTATGAAGATGGGCAACAGAATTACCACAATACTAAGAATGGAGTAAAATGTGCACATTCTGAAAAGCAGGTCCAATAATAAATTTCCCACTGTTGAGAATCTATCACAGTATTCCAACCTTCATAAGAAGAAAAACTTTGGTGTATTAAACTGTGAGGAAAAAAGCAGACTATTAGAGCAAAATATGTGTTAAGGCTATCGATCACAATTTCAAAGACTTTAACCTCCAAAGACAACACAGAATGATTAAAAACAAGAGGATAAAGAAAACCAAGGAGAAAGCACCTAAGCATTCACAGTTTCATTGACATCACAAGCTAGGCAAGTGCTCCACCATTTCAACTGTCAAAGCAGACGCCCAGAAAGTGTTAAACCACAAGTTAAAAGAGTCAAAAAGAATCTGATCTATCAGCTAAGACTCAACTCTGTAGGCTGCACAGGGAAGACGTAAAAATATGTTGCCTCATCCAGTTTACTTATCCATAAGAACAAATAAATACAAAACTCCAGTAAGAAGAAATGAATAAAATGGTTGGAGCCAACTGGAGTCTTAAGTCTTGCTTTTCTTTTTTCTTTTTTTTTTTTTTAAGTTTTGAATTTTTTTTTCTTAATATCTTTATTTGTTTTTATGTGGTGTAGAGGATCAAACCCAGTGCCTCACGCATGCTAGGCAAGTGCTCTGCCACTGAGCCACAACCCTGGTCCAAGTCTTGCTTTTAGACAGGTGATCAGAAAACTAGAAATATCTGTACTATTCATGTAACAAGGGGCTTTAATTTTTACTAAAGGTCTCCAAAAAAAAAAAATGTTTAAAAACAACTCAACTGGGATGGGTTGTAACCTAGCACATGTGAGGCACTGGGTTCTATCCTCAGCACCACATGAAAATAAATAAATAAAATGAAGATATTGTGTCCACCTACAACTAAAAATATTTTTTTTAAATAAACATTATAAACGTTTCTCTTGGGCTGCAGTTGTGGCATGTGCAAGGGCCTGGGTTCAATCCTCAGCACCACATAAAAATAAAGGTATTGTATCCAATTATAACTAAAAAAAATTAAAATAAACATTTGTCAATATGACCAAAGGTTTTTAATTGTTTTATAGATGGTTTCAATTGAGATACAAGTACTTTTTAATTGTAATTAAAAAATGTATAATTTGTTTTTTCAAAAGTTAAATGCTAGCATCTACTAGCAAAATATTAAATAGTAAAAAACAAACTTAAAGATATTTTAAAGGAAAATATATCATGATGTAGTGACAACATATAAGCATACAAAAAGTATGGAGTCAGGATGACTGGGACAATGATAGTACTAGAGGTAAGATGAGATATACAAAGTCTCAACTGTTAATAGCAGTCATGTTCCAGTGTTAGTAAGACTACTACAGATATAAAACTCAGAAATAAATCAGGATTGGAAACATCTTTCCCTAGGATCTAGGACAATTTTCCTGTGTGGTCTTCCCAATACTATCCCTTTCTCTGGAACATTTGAGCAAATTCCTATATTCTATCTTTACTTTCTAATTTACTTTATTATGAATTATATCATATACACTTCCACATTAAAAAATACAAGACAGCAAACATCTGTGCTTCCAACACCAGTCAGATTAAGAAAACACCAGTCAGATTAAGAAACAATAGTTCTATGTTGTTGCTCCCTGCACTTCCCTGGTCTTTTTAGATGGGATCTTGTTATATTGCCCAGACTAGCCTGGAACCCTTGGACTCAAAGCAATCCTCTGCCTCCGTCTCCTGAGTTAACTGTAACTATAGATGCATGCCACAACACCCAGCGAAAAACCTCACATTTCCTTCTCCTAAACTGAATCTCCCTCTCTTCTTTTTCTCCCTATATTTGAGATAATCATATTCTGGCTTTTTTTTTTAATTTAAATTTTACCACTTATCTAAAACAGTTAAACTATATCTAAATAGTATATAAATTGATTAACAATCCTTTAAGACTTGTTTTTTTTTCTATTTTTCTGAGATTTCTATTGTATATGTAGTATTTATGGTAAACTCTTCTGCACTGCTACAGCCTA